GACCATGGAACTAGTTTGGGAAAAAGAGGCTGCTTGACTACTTCGAGCGATATTTTGATTAAGCGTTCGGATTGTTCTGCCAGTCGTATAAATATACTCGATCGATTTATTGCTGGATCTGTTCATTGGAATGTGCAACGACAAAATCAGCTCCAGCGGATATCCTTTCAATTCCTTCGATTTGTCATATATCAATGTTTATTATCCTTAAAACAATACAATTTATAAGCCAACCTACAGAATCCGTTCGCAACATAATAAAATGAGGCTTGACGAACGTATTCATGCAACCACTAAATTATACAATTAATCGTCAATTAAACAAGCTGCTTTCGGCGGCAGCTAAAACCACGTGTTAATTATATTCCCTAACGATGGCGGTAAACCTTGAAGGAGAACCAGGAAGGAAACTAGGTTAATTTGATTTGGTCTACTCCGAGCTGGATCGGAATGAGAAGTGTCGAAGTGAGACTTCGGATTCTAAAATTTTCAATAAGAAATAGTGTCCTGCATTTCGCGAATTCTTCCCGGGATTGTCAATCGGGTCGAGATTGAAGACAGGTTCCGAAGAACGCGGTGTCGCCAGAAATGGAAGGAGGCTCGAACGACAAAGGGGACAGGGCAGAGGGGCGAGGAGCTAGCGGGACGGCTCCTCTTCAATGTTACGCGGGGAATTCAAGGCAGTCGTTAGTATGCTAATGAGTGTCCCCGGTTTCTTGGCCCGCTCCCGTAATGCACGGCCCGGTGAATTATTTCGAATATTTCCCGAACGTCCACGCGGGGCCATCCTCAACTCCGTGAGAATCGAGTCTCGTCCCCAGTTCGACTGGAATCGCAATAAAAACCGAGAGAGAGGGAAAGAGAGAGATTACACGGAATTCTATCGACAGGTATCATAACTCCCGGCATTCTTCTCACTTTCTCGACACCGTACACCCTCGACATTCCTTGTCGCCATCGAGAGGGAAGGATTCATCTATTCTTAAAATCACAACGTTACAACCTTGTGTTGTACATCGAGAACGACACCTTGATTGTGTCGTAAAACGAATATATTTCCTTTCGTTATGTACTTCATATTCTTTTAGGCAGGATTGGTAATCATCGAAAGGAGATCAATTACGATGTTGCAATTCATCTATTACCTAATCTATCTAGTAATCAACTCGAGTAACTATTTCGTCGATATTGAAATTATACACAACAGAGCGTACAAGAATACCAGGAAACACGGGCGCGCTCTCGCGCGCCAAATAAATAATTACACAAATAAATTCCCATTGAATCGACTATCCATTACCAACCAGCGCAATTTTACTCGGTCAAACTACTACCCATTACTCTTATCTTCCACTCATAATCCGAACAAACATTTCCCGGCCGGCCGGCCGCGGTTGCCTGGAAAAATCCCCGCATTCCCGATCTGGCACATCGAATTACATCATCCCACGATCGAGCGAGCGTTGCGGGTGATTTTTACGCGAGCGTGTACCGTTACCATAGCGAATGGCTCCTCTCCCGGTTCCCGGGACCTTCTTCCCGCCCCTGATCCGGCATCGATCAAGCCGTACCCCGGCGAGCCACGCGGTCGTAACGCAACAACGCGCGAAATTTCTCATACGAATTGAATGTTTAATTAATGATCGCGGATCGGCCGTGCGCAGCGACGCGACGTTACGGGGGGGAAATAGGGGCAGAGAGCTCGGTGGTATGAAAGACGATACGGCCGGCCACGGGAATTAATATTATCATCCCGGCGTGTAACGTCGCTATCCGCGAGCGTAACTATGTACTCCCCGCGGGCCGGGTGAAGAGAGAGGCGCTCTCTCGCCGGTACGTTGCTCTCACGGGCGAGTTTCGATGTTATCGCGGGATATATAACGGGCGCCATCGGGCCCTGATATCGAGAGCCGCACGAAAGTCCAGAGGTGAGAATTAAAGGCGCTCGACCCGACGACCGATCCCTCATCTCGCACACCGACGCGCACAGATTCACCTGACCACCTCGAAAACCCGCTTTTGACTCCTTCAACGGAACCTTATCGGGTTGGGTCCGCTCGAATATGGTGGCAGGGTATCACTCGAGTCGAGGGTGAAGCTTACGTAACCGACAGGTAATTAAAACGCTGATTCCCCGGGTGTTTCGTGTTCCGGAGAAGATGTGGGAACGTGAACTTCTTGTTCGGTAGGTTGGACACAGCGATTTGATGTTACGAAGCTTGTTTCGAGATTTATGAACATGGCTTCCTTTAATGATTATGCTAACTTCGAATTTAAAGATGTATTTATTACCTTGTTCTCGCGTCGGCTCGATAAAATGACGATTCAATTACAGATTCGAGAATATTCAACCCTCGAAAAGTCAGTGTACCCCTGGTAATTTAAAGCTTGTCAATCTAAGGATCCCTGAGCGACGCAACTTCTCTGAGCCGAGGCAGAAAAGAGAATCGCGGGGCAAAAAAAATCCATGTAAAGACCAGAAATTATCCCAATTATCTCGATCTAACTATTTCCCGAGTCGTAAAACTTTCTATACCCGAGGCGTCCCTCCCTCCATCCTCGGCAACAATTCGCGCAGGTTGAATCGCGTTTGCGGCGAAGCGGTCGCCGCGCTTTCATCGCGATGTCCTTCGACGGTTCGATCGATAAGGACGCAAATAATATTCAATCGGCGGATTCCGCGGGCGCACGTGGCCCCGCGCTTGCAGGCGGGGGGGAGAAGGGAAACGCGTATAGGAGCCCGGCCGACAGAAGAGACGATCCCCGAGTCTCGTTAGGCCGCGTTTAGTTGGCCCGAAGGGTGTTGACCCTTGGCTCTCGTCCTCTCGTCCCACTAATGTGGTGCACCGTGGAATATCGGGTACCGCATACTAAGTGACCCATCCGATAGTAATTGGACCTCATTAAGGCAACAACGGGGCCCCGCGGGCTGTCTCTGTTCGGCGCGCGCGTTCCCGGTTTCCCGGAGAGACCGAGCCACCAGATAACGCGTTTTAGGTAAATTAGACTCTCTCTTTGTGGACTAGGATCGGCACTGAAACCGCTGGAAAATACGGCCGCGCGCACGGCGCACAGATTTATGTCCGTGTAATCTACGGCTGTGCGCCATCGAAGGCAGGCCGCGTCTAAGACCGGATTTTCTATCGTGCGCCGCTCGCACCCTTCGCCTTTCCACGACGTCGCAGCGCCCGTCTGGAATACCTTCGAGATAAGGGACGCCGATGCTCATGAGTTTATTAAGGTCCGGCGTATCTACGCTTCAAGGCGGCCCGTAGTGCCCTTTTTATCTGGGTAATTTAGAATTCGGCCGGGGCTGTTTACGAGTCCCCGTTTCATAGGTGAGTTTCGGGAAACGGAGCCTGGGGGATCTCGTTCTCTGTGACATTGATTTTAATGGATGGAAAGTTGCGTGAAATTCCCCTGAATTTCACTTTGCTTCGAATTCGATTGCTTTAGGAATATTATTCTGGATTGCGAATGTAATAGTCCAGCGAAGAGATAAATCTGTAATAGCCTGTAGTGTCTTCATAAGCGAGCGCAACAATTTTTTCGATTAACGCGCGAACCTCGAGCGAACCCATTTCCGAAGGAGGACGATCCGTGGACAATCGATTCGCCTCGCTCGATTTTTTCCGACCACTTACGCATTCGCATCGGGCGAGATTCTTTCCCATCAAGATCGGACTCTCCCACCTTCCTCGTCAATAGACGGATGAGTAAACGCTGGCCATCCTGCTCACGATTCGACGCGGCTTATTAACCATGTCCTGTTCCCTTTAAACTGGAGTAAATCGCGTTGGACGCGAGGGGATTCGACCGGTGATTTCAACGCGTGCAAGGCAGTGCGCGGGGACGCGGGCAACGAGGACTGCGCGCGCAACACGGCCTTAATTAATTCGTTGTTTAATGATTAATGCGAGCGTGTCCGCTGACGGTTTGCGGCGTTAAACGTGTAAATTGTGTTCGTGGGGAATATGTTGTTAAACGGGACGAAATTAGTTTAGCGGTGTTTTCACTGATTCATTGGGACGAGTAACTGTCGAAGTGTCTGTAAGATTTTGTACATAATTTTTGGAACTTTTTAAATATTGTTTGACTATGTAAATATCATTGAAGGTACTCTTTCGCGATTATCTTATTTAGTTTAATTTAATTCAATTTGAAACTTCAGCATGCGAGTTTATATTCTAACGATCGTGAAAAGATATTTGCATCTAGCACGTGAATTCATTAAACAGTTTAAACTATCCAGGACGAAGATAGTGGCCAGGGGAAGACAAGGACGCAATTACTCGTGGCGTAAAGGATTAAGACGTGTAATCTTTCCTAATACACTTTAGGATATCGATAATCCTCGTTAATAGTAAAAGTCAGCGGACTAATACCCTTATATTCGACGAATTAAAAATTCTATGATCCGAGATTAGTCACACCACATATTCCCCCATTTTTAATGGGGATTATCAGACCGATTCCAGTTTACTTCAAGCTAATATCTCATTCGAAATATTACACTAATAATGTATCAGACGCTTTAAAGACACTAAATTCCTACTAGAAGATTTTCCTTCCGTCTTTTTTCGTAATACATAATCTAAAGATCGAGATGTCGATGCCGATAACTTTCACACGGATCTCGACGCGATATCACGCGTATTTTTATCCGATGATCTTCTTATTAATTCTAATTAACGGCGAAAGAGAATATTACCATGTTACACGTAACGTAATTGTATCTCGAAGAGAATCAACATCTAAACAACTTCATCTACAAAATCGAACTGCCTGCATCACGCGTCGAGATATCTCGTCGAAAGAGTTAATTAATCAATATCATCTCGCGAGATATTTTATTGAAAAATACGAAGAGCTTGAATTTCACGCGATTTACCAAACATCGAAATTAAATATAAAAAAGGCGAACAGTAAAACGAGAATTTCGAGGGTCCGGGTCACAATGGACCCAGTCATCGCTGGAGGGTTAAACGGATTCATCTTACCTTGCAACCCTCGCACGTGAACGCCCCGAAATGAAAACCAGCCGCCGGCTCGCCGCAGACCTTGCACTGTTGGTTCATCTGCAATTATAGAAATTATGTTATTCGAGGCGGACAGCGGACGATGCGTCAGTTTAGTCCGGCTCATCCTTGGAAAGATAAAAGAGACTGAGTGGCCTGCCAGGCCCGAGCGGGGGCGGCGGGGCACGGTGAGACGACGAACCGGTTCTCTGTGTTCGCTTCGATTTTTTATTCCTCCCACAATATCTTACGGATGTTCGAATGCTATTTGGATTACCAGGAATTAGGAGAGCTTGAAAAATTATTCTGTGTCCCCTCTACGGCCATTATCGGCCCTGACACGGTTCATCGGCGTGTAGTTAATGTACCTGGCACCCAGGGAACGAGTCCACGATCGACTTCAGTCCTGAAGTCTTTTTTTCGACTTTTCTTTCGTCGCGTTATCATTATCCTATCCGCGCCGATGCGAATCAAATATGAACGAAGTTCGTCGAGTGTGAAATATATGCGCTTGTTAACACATGTTTTCTCGCTTGTTACATTTAGATACAAACGTTGTCGGGAAGAAACTTGTTTAATATTTCAGTGACTTGTGGACAGTAATTTGAATTTTATTGAAAGGAACGACTAATATAAACTATGCGAGAGTATGCGTGCGTCGCGGTGATAATATTCAAGTAGATCGACGAACGTACGCGCTAATGATTCGAATGGATTAAGTTTAAGATGAACTCGGAGAAACGGGAGGTTTCTTAGAAGTGGGCCGTGTTTTTCTTCCTATTGTTCTCTTTCGTCGAGTCAATCAATAAAATAATGTAATTCGTCGAAGGATCGACGGACCATTAAGCCCTTCCGGGACGCGTCTAAGTATCTTCTTCTGTTCAAAGGGGAAATGGTCTGTCCCGTTCGAACAGGGAAATCATAAATCAGCGTTATCTCGGTAAAAACCACCATCTGTCGCAGGTCGGTGCCAGGGAAATGGCCGCGTTCCACGGGCAAACGGGATTAAAATTAGACCATCGATGATCTGATAAAGAATACCTCTAAACCGGGACGCCCGAAGGCACCTGGTTTCCTCTAACTTTTACCTAACCGAAAACTGTCTTGTATAATTTACTAAAATGAGATTCCCGATAAGCCTAACCTTCATCCCACAGATGCTAGGACGCGTAGATCATCTCCGAACACGTCGTAACAGATGAAAAACGATTGCAGCTGGTTCTAATTCGTTATTTCACCCCTTTCTACAAATTTATCTGTCCTAGCGTCAATTGCTTTTGAGATCTTGATTCCAAGATTAATTATGTCCACATTCGTAACGATGTATTTCCCATAAGTTCCATTTTTTCTCCTTTTTAAGTAAGCTTCACTTCCTTATTAAAGGCAAATCTTGATAAATAAGTGAATTTAAAAAACTGTAGAGTTCAATGTACGATGCGAGGGTGGCAGTTTCCACGGAGATGCTCGTGTCAAGGTGCCATTAACGCCTTAACGAGGGTTCCAGGCGACTATAATTATGTCGCGACTCAACGCGAGCCCTTCTAATCGTCCCTTCGCGATTGTTCTTGAAAAGGAAGGGATCTGACGCCCGTGGTCTCCCGTATTAACCGACCAACGAAGACAGAGGGAAGAGAGAAGCCAGCACGGGAGTCTGAGCCGCAAGTTCGTTAAGGTTTCCAAGTTTTTTCACGGCGCAGTTGTCTGACGCCCGCTCTTTCTTTCATTCCGCTTGGTTGTAGGGCCAAGCTATCCTCTTTTCCCTCTGTCCTTAAAGAATCGGACAACAGGTATCTTTTCTCTTCGTCCAGTCTTTATCTCGGTCCTCTTTCGACCACAAACGATGCCCGAATAATGACACGGTCTTCTTTCCTGAAGATGTTCGAGCCACTTTGCCTTTCGAACAGCTTCAGCGTGGCAGGAGACTTTAACGCATGGATAGGCGAGTAATCTTCGCTGTTTGTAGACACTTTTTAGTGCAACTCATTTATTACTAATCTATCACATATGTTCTATGTCCTATTGAACACAATTTAACCCTTTAGAAGCTCAATCGTTGTGATTAAATGAATGATACGAAGATTTGTTAGATAACTCTATAAGACTATATATTCCTTTTCAACCGACTATAAGCATCAGTAACATTTTACTGTTACAGCAATTAGTATAAGTTGATCAATGTACCATAAAACCCAGGTGCGTTATTCTTCATTAATCTCAGAATATCAAAGACTAGAGCTAAATCTAGCAGAAGGAATGAATTTCTGCATTACTAGCGAACCCGACGAATAAGCTACATTCCCGGCATTCCAAGAGGGCCTCCCAGAAACCAAAACGAAAGCAACGATCCACCACGCCGCAACGCTCGAATCACCGTTCCAAATCGTACAATGCCGCGATCACGAGATATTGCAAATATCCTACCCGGGAGCAAAGTTCGTACGCTGGAATCATAGGTGTTCGCGTGAGAATCGGCCGGGAGCATCGGGATTGCGGGCGAGCGGGCCGTTGCTGCGCGACCGGAAAGAGCGAGCCGGTATGGCTGAAGGAAAGGTTAAGCGGCGCAAAAAGCGGGGCGCGTAGCTAATATCGGCGCGTTGTTTCCACCGGCTCGTTCGAATATCCCGATCGCGGTCGCGCGCTAGCGCGAGCGCTTCGACGTTGATTAAGAGTGGTCTCCCGATTAACAGTAAATCACAGAAGCGCATTGATTCAACCTTCGTAACCGTATCCGTGGGTGCCCGGAGCAGCAACAGGCAGCAGCAACCAGCAGGCAGCGGTACGACCGGTGACTATAACCAGCGAACGGTACCATTTAAGTAGCCGAGCCTATTGATTTTACAAAGGATCGGTTCGGACGTTAGGCCACGAGACTGATATCGGATTCTATATCCCACGGAGAAGTAGAGTTAATTCGGGCCAAGGCTGTAGCCGAGTGCACTGTCGAGAGGATCGATTTCTCTGCCCTAAACTGTCCTCACGATCCGTGAAATCTAGCGGCGGTCGCCATTTCGGCCGCAGGTTTCACCGCTAATCGGAATCTTTGCTACCTGCAACCGTGTCTCCGATTCTTGCTCATTCTGACTACACTTGATCAATTGCTTCGTGGAATATGCCTGTGTACAGAGTGATAGAAAGAAGTATTCGTGACTGCCAGGGTGGATGGTAGCTGTTCAAATGCGAAACCGTTGTAATGAACGTAATTCATTGTTTCTGTAGTGTATCTTAAATGGGAAAATCGGATCGACTGAAATGAATGATTCCTTATAAAACTTTGGGAATATCAGTTTTTCGTCTGCGATCATTGGAAATTACGTGTGTCCGTTGACGAGGTAGTGCTCGTTTCAGATGGATAGTTCTATGTAAGGATTTACGAACACTCTTTTTATCACTCCGAACACACGCACGAGTAGGTATAAGTGTTACCAGTTTCCGTAATCGGATTTCGATTCGAAGCCCCCGTGATTAATAGCGGTTTCTGAATATTCATGCGCTTTAACCGGTGCGCCGTGGAATAGAGAGGCAACGGCTCGTGGCGTTCTCCAATTCGACGACGATAGGAATTCGATCCCGTCCACGAAACACGAAACCGCGCTAACTGGATTCAAATATCGTGAGAGACGTATAGCAAACGTCGTTGAATCGTATATAGCGTTCGAACGTTCCCGATGATCGGAATTCCGAGCGTTCGCGGGACATTCCCCGGCCGAATTCCTGTTCCCAGAGACCGCGCGGCGCGGCGGGGCCTTACCGGTCTCCGGGATGGCGGCCATCGCGGCGAGTTTCACCGAGACGCTTATCACCGGGGCCACGAAGCATCAGATAACACGGCGACTACCAGGCAGCGTGCCTCTTCCACCATTGATATGCAAAGGATACTTGCGAAGATCTGCGCAACGGACGATGGGACCGGCGGTCGGCCCTGTGAACCGCTCGTGAGAGCCTTTGTGCGATATTTTGGAATATCGTTGGAAGAACTTGAAATCGAACAGCGAACCACCCTCGATGCGATTCTCAAACGCTATAAATCACTTTGTAACAACGACAACAAGGAAGAAGTATCGTTCGATTAAAATATTCGTAGCAAACGTTAGGTAAAAGTGCTATTCATTTCATTTCAATATACCCATCTTGAACTTGAAACAGACATTCAAATTTCAATCTTAAAAATCTTTAAATTCGATTTCAAGTTCGCTGATTTCGACTTTTAGATACCTGGGTCGCGAAGTAAATTAAATTGCATCCGTATAGATTGCCGAAAGATATCGTCGCACGGAACAACATGAAAATTGAGGGGATCAAGGTTATAGCGGGGCAGCTCGTGTATGCGCGTGCAGCTCGTACCCCAGTTTCCAGAGTCAATATTTGCCACGGGACACGTTAATGAAGTCGATCGACCTGCTCCAAATATCGGCTTACGGCCGCACCGATGCCCCGAGCGAACGAAAACGACTGCTACGAGGCGGCGAACGGGGAGGAGAGGACGAGCACGAAAAGAACGAGGGGTCACGCACCCCTCCTGTCATCGTTCCGCTCCTCCTAGTGCGCGCGTGTTCCCCGGCCAGTCCAGGGGCACGTCGAACTTTACGCGCCATTAAACTCGAGTCCCGTCTGACGTTTATCCCTTTATGAGCGTTTTTTCTTTTTTTCTCTCCTGCTCCCCCCTTCCCCCGGAGAGATCCCCACCGATTCAACCCAACCCCCATTGTCCTCTCACCCCGGCAACCCTTTTCTTACGGCGACTTCTTACGAACCCTTTGGAGGGGAGCAAGACGAAGATCGGTCGGAGGGGACGCGAGAAGATTTTTGGGAAGATAGGACCGCATTGTGAGACCAGAAGAGGGTGAGAGATATCGAGGCGTTAAAAGGGCGTAGCGCGGTGAGCGAGAAAGGGATTGGATGTCGGAACTGCGTTGATGATGCATTAAGGTCTAGCAGTGCGATGTAGAGTTTCGGAGGACTGTTGAACTTTGGATGTTGATGTTAGAAAATTTGAGAATTTGACTTCGAAAGTGTGAACTTGAAAATTTGAACGTTGAACTGGCGAGTTACTCGGCGAAGTT